CACACACACACACACACACACACACACACACACACACACACACACACACACACACACACACACACACACAGCAACAGAGACCTCTTTAAAGTGGTGAATCTGGGGACAGACTGAACTTTCAGCACCATGGACAGCGTCACTCTACATAAGCTTCTCCTCTTTTGGGTTTTACATTCCAATGTATGACAGTGTATTAGGGCCAGATTCAGAGAACAAAGTCATAATACAGTATTGTCAGGATAAAGTGATAAGATTACATGAAGTCCATTTTCCATTCCTGGGTGGACTCAGACCTGCTGTGGACAGCCTCTGTGCATGTCTCTGTGTTTATGAAGTAGTCAGATTACATTTGTCCCACTGTGAGTGTAAAATTCTTCCGTCTACATTCTGTGATGACTAAATCTGTCAATGCAGCTGCAATACCTTCAGTTTATCATATGAATCCATATACCACAGTGCATCGGGCCTACTTCTATTCTACTGCCAACATTTGAGACGCCGCGCTAGCAGGAGCTCCTCTCCCTCTGGATCTCAATGAACATCTTTTGTTTCCTGAGAAACAACAAGACCTCTTAGACCACAACTAGACAACTCCTCTTCCGCAAAAGAAGCAATTTCTTCCATGTCCGTGTGGTTCTTTCTTCGAAGTAGACACAGTCGTTTTGTTTTAAAGTCCTGCTACTGATAACAAATTGATGCTGATGTGTTAAAAGATGATATATTTCTTTATTTGTAAAACCAATACCAAAGTATAACTTTTAACGCAGTGGTAAGACTGCTTTTTCATGTCAGAGTTCTATAAATACAGTGATTTTATTATTGTAATATAAAGACAATAATCTGCTGTATCATTGCAGATTTATTTCATATTATTTCCACTTTATTCCTGTACGACTTTATTGTCATAAAATTAGGACTTTATTCTTGTCACATTACAAATATTTTCATATTATTTGGGTGGCTGTGGCAACGTCTTTGGGGGAGTCATTCTCCAATGAAAGAGTTGGCGGTTCGATTCCCTGCTATTCAGTCACATGTTGAAGTGTCCCTGAGAAAGACACTGAACCCTCACGGCTTCTGATGTGTCTCATTAGTGTATGAGTGTGATGTAAAGCACTAATTAGTCACCACTGAATGACTGAATTACCTTTATACAGAGGTATAGTAGTGTGACGTGTGTGTGTGTGTGTGTGTGTGTGTGTGTGTGTGTG